GGAGCAAAAACTCAGCAACATAGGCCACGGCTCGTCCGTACGTTTTCCTATAATCCACAAGGTCGAGCCTTCGTCTCCTGTTCCCATCTCAGGAGAAACCCTTTGGTTCTTCTGCAGTACCCGTCTCGTCGACCGTCGTAAGAAACATCAAACGGAACAGTATAAACCATGTTTTGTTTTGTCGCCGCCTTCACGGGTGGCGGCGCCGTCGATTTACGGCGGGGGGGCAAACAGGGTTTGTGGGTTTGGTGACGCGCGTAGTCGCGGTCATGGATTTAGTAGCAGAGCCTCTCACGTAAATGATGCTGGGTCGAATAATCAGCCTCTAATTGAGTCCATGGAGAAAAAGGTGCGTGATTGATTTTCCCCCCTTCTTCATCGGTTCTTCAGTCTTGTTAAACTAGATTCTGGGTCTTGTTTCTCGGTTCTGATTGTGCTGAATTTTGGAGAAATTAAGGGATTGGATACGACCAAATTCAGAGCTTTCATTACTGCTCGAATCTTCATGCTTTTGTCCAAAATCTCAGCTTTGAAGCTTTTAGTGGTTAACCTATCTCTGCTTAGGTATTTGATTAGATTGAAGAGCAATCTTCAAAAGCTAGGGTTCATTCCTCATTTGAGTAATCTTATGAAACTTAGCCCGACTCAGCATTGCGCTTGCGAACGATATATTTGGTGCATTGGTGGGTTTACTTGATTGCATTATGGTTTTCCCTCATATCAGAGCCATTAGTGGCACGATCTTCACATCTTCTCGCGACCTTAAGCAGTTGTCATTCGGTTTTCTTTTGGGGTTTAGGACACGCTTAAAGTTGTGGCCGCATTGCATTCTGTGATCTTTGATATCACGACTATTTGGGACGGCTGAAGTCTCCGGTATCTGGCTGTGGTGGCACAAAATCTTGATCAAGAGCGAGACACAAGCTTGGTTTCTTGATTTTGTATAGATGGAAATTAAAGTCCTTTCGTTGATGCTCTACCACTGCTTCTAATCTTTAACTTATGTGTATACATATTCTTACTTGTACATACATATACATACTGACACCTTCTATCTATGCTCCACGAATGCCATTCCATGTGGGGGTTTATCTGGGCAGAACTGGTTATTGAAACTAGGAGGAAGCATAGGGTAAAGGGTCTTTGACCGGGACATATTATGCATCTGATTCTCGTTAGGTCTTAAGCTACCGTCATCGAATATGGTGTTATTGCAGAGATGTTATTTCACTCGGTTTTATTACGCAGATCAAGGAAGAGTTGAGTGCAGAATCTGTCTGTAAAGGATATGTCGGGAGACGGACGTCATGTATGGTATAAGCCCTCGATACCATCTTTTTAGCTCTTATTCTCTTGTCCACGATATCGACTTATTCACCGTGACGTCTATTTTTTTTTTTTTTTTTTGGGGGGGTTTTTTATTTTGGTAGCATCGATGTGGTGTCTTCGGCTTTTGAGGGACAATCAACAGTGAACAGGCAGAGGATGGTTTACAAAGCCATCTGGGCGGAGCTTCAGAGCGTAGTTCATGTCGTCGATCATCTTCGGCTTTTGAGGGACAATCAACAGTGAACAGGCAGAGGATGGTTTACAAAGCCATCTGGGCGGAGCTTCAGAGCGTAGTTCATGTCGTCGATCAGATGACGACAAAGACTCCTTCCGAGGCTTGATCTCGGAAGTGAGGTAACCTAATGTTTTGGCCGGAATCAGTAGTTTCTGTGATATTCTTTCTTCTGTCGGACGGAACTTCCGAACAGCAATAAGAGTTAACAGATTTATTTGGTGGATTTGCGTAAAAGTTTCTGCTGATTTCTCAGTTCTGTTCTGTTCTGATGTTCCTTTTGTAGTTTCTTCTCTGTTTCTTTGCATTGTAATTCGCTGAACCAGAGAATAGGAAACAAGAAGAAAGCCTTTCCCCGACACAAAATCAAGAATTATATATATATATATATATATATATATATATTCATGCAGATTCATCAAAAGAAGCAGTGTGAAGTGAAACTAATAACCTAAGACACCGAAGAACAGCTATGGTGTTGCCTGCGCAATCTCTCGAGATAAGTTCCTTCCCCATGGAAGAATGACGTTACTTGTCCCACACGTCACCAGATTTGATGCATTTCTTGCAACCCAAGAAACTTGCATCCAAAAACATCCCAATGGATCACTGTGTTAATCCCTGTATGGTGCATTCGTTGTCGATAATCCCAATGGGGTTTTGTCGCAATCCCCAGAAAAATCCGAACACTTCTGGTCTCGATCATCATCATCATCAACATTACTCTCATGATCACCTTCTTCACCTCCTCCTCTCACGATCAGTCTACCGTTTTCTTCTTCATCCCCAACATGATGCGCTTGTCTCGTTACTTGACATTCCCGATCATCGTCACGCTCCCGAATTGCACGTGCTTCTCGCCACCCATCTCCGAGCTGTAATCCGCCGCTGACGTGGCATTTTCCGACATGGTGTTGCTGTCCTTGTTGTTGCCAATCTGGGGATCGACATGCGTAACAGTCCTTCCCAGTTCCCGTGGAATCTGGTCGGCTCAGGGCCTGATTACGGACGCGTAGAGATAGCCCAAGAGCCAGAAGAGCCATGGAACTCCGACGAGGATCATACCCGCTTGAAGAAACAGAGGATTCGGATCCGGAAGAAAAAGGTAGAGGCCGAGAAATACTCCGCCGGAGACGATGCATGCGAGAAACAGAGCAGTCACGACGTAGACTCTCGAATCGCCCTTTCTCCGATCCGTTCCGCCGGAGGAAAAAAAAATCCTCCAAATTACGAAATTATTTCACAACAAAATGCAAAATACTCGGGCTTTAGGCCCATATGTATAATCCCTGAGCTTTGGGGAGATGTTTTTTTACCTTGGGAGATATAATTGGGCCTTGGCCCATTGAATTTCCCAATTAACAAAAAAAATTTCCATCTTTCGTAAGAAAATGATAATATCTAGGATGCAAACTCTCTTATTTTATGCCACGTCACAATTAATAAATTCGAATAAAAACAAATGAATGAGTTTAGCCAATTTATTTTTCTTCTCCCTTTTATTTACATTTTCCTGAAAATAAAAATCCCTTCATTTCCCCTCTTAAATTTCACCGCTTAATTGGGTAAACGGTGGATCCCGTTGAAACGGAACTTCTCCATTGCCATCGAACTCCGTGCCAGAAAATTCGAAACGCCGTCTCTCTGACTTGCCGTCGCCGCCTTCCCGGCATCCTCCTCCTCTCTCCGCCGTGAAGTTCCGATACCACCGGATTCTTCGTCTTCCTCCTCGTCTTCAGTCTCCCGCAGTATATCGGCGATCAAAACCACATTGCCTGAGTTCAGTGACACCGATCTCTGAATCTGCTGCGTTTCTTCTTCTCCTCTCGTCCTAACACCATCCCTCGACTCTCTCTCTGACCGTTTCGGCGGTGATGAGACGCGATTATTCTCGTTCCGAGATACGGACTCCAGATCGATGACAACCACCACGGGATCGCTGTTCTGTTGTTGGTGATTAGCCGTAGAATTGTCCATCTCCACGCTTCCTCCGCTGCGATTGCCGGAAACAACGGCGATCAGGTGGCCGGCGGACGGTTGGTCGGCTACTGTGACGTCGGCGGAGGGGGTAGTGGCGTTAACGGCGGTGAGATTGGCGCGGCAGAGAGGGCAGTTTGAGTGAGATTTCAACCAGGTGTCGATGCAAGGGACATGAAAGGCGTGATTGCATTTTGGCAGCAACCTCAAGCTCTCATCCTCCTGGAATTCGCTCAGGCAAACAGAGCAAGCAGAGCAATCGACGAGTCCATCGCTCTTCCTGTACTTGTAAACCTGAATCGATTTAATCAGAGCCTCGTCGAGACCATCCACCGCAACCTCCGGAGAACCGTACCCCTGCCAGTTGTCTCCGGCGGCGGCGGGGAAGGAGGAGATGTCACGATCGGTGTGGGATGAGAATCCGTGGCGGCGGCAGAACTTGGAGATGAGAGTGTAGTAGCTGACGAAAATGAAGGCAATGGAGAGGATTCCGACGAGAGCGATGAGAAAAGGGGAGAAATGGGCGGAGGAGGAGTCATCGGTATTGCCGAGGAAGAAGGAAGGAGGAGGATTGAAGATGACGTAGCACCACTGAGGGCAGTAGACGTTGCAGATTCCTTGGGAGCAATCACTGTAGGAGTCATACGGAACCCATGATGGATTATGGCTTTCCACATAACCCATTGATGCTGTTGCTGTTGTTGCAGAGAAGGAGAGAGAGAGAGAGAGAGAGAGATGTGAAGGTGAAGAAGTCTCTCTCTCTCTGGTAAGCCCGTAATTATTATTGGTCTGAATCTGAGCCGATTAATATACTTAGGGAAATAATTAGTTAAGATTCGTAAAATTGTTAATTTGGTATTTTGGTTATGTAATATTTTGCTGGGCAGTGGTTATAAGGGGGAAAAAAGAACGAATAGAGGGAGAGGCTACAAAAGGTAGATAATTTGTGTTGCTCTTTATTCTTTAGATTGTCTCTTCAGATTCTTTCCTTTTCAAGTGTTACAGATAAGGGACTACATCATTCCATTGATGTTATAATATATGCCATTAAAAGACAATCACATTTATTTTAGTAAATAAGATTTATTATATATATATATATATAATCATAAGCAACCTCGAAAACTCAAAATCCCCTGTAATAGTTTAGGAATTTAAGTTTGATGTGTAAAAAAAAATAATGGATTTGTGATCATTCATACATTTCGAGTCTTTAGAGGGAAGGAATTTGAATTTATAAAGTATAAGAAAAAAACTAAATTTAATTAATTGATGAAGTAAAGTGTAAGAAAATTGGATTTAGGACACAGGAGTTGGAGGAATCTTAATTATACAAGTGTGTTCTGATGTATCGGGTCACGTGGTTGCAATTCCAATATCTCAATCTTTTTTTTTATTAAATAGTTGAGAAAAAAAAAAGAAAGATTTCAAATGAATCAGCTGCTTGAGTCCAAACTCTTGCGTGTGTATATATATATATATATATATATGTGATCTCATTGTAATAAAATAAAGATCTGAAACTGAAATTGGGTTATGATGCGTGTCTCTCACCGTCCTTTTCTCCGTTCGTCCAATGCCTGCCCCAAGAAAATCTCTTTGTTATCTAATAATAACAATAACAATAACAATAATAATAATAATGTGCAAATTTAAAATTAATTGTAACCAAATTTAATTGCTAAATAGACAAAGAGACGAAAAGGGACAAGAAAACACACCTAAGAAAAAAAAAACCAAGTAGGGATCACTAAATGATAAAGGGATTGATTGAGATGGGCTATTTGGATGTAATTAATGCAATGCAGAGCGTAGAATCTCATGCCCATTCACTATAAGGCGTTTATTTCATAGAGACATATAGAAAAGATTATAAAGAAGAGATAACAATTTAAATTTTTTGTTTTTTGGCAGAAAGAGAAGCACCACCGTTATTGTAGAACACATTACCTTGCTTTGGAACATCCTCATGGTCAGAACAAGAGTATCGCGCATTCTGTAAACCAGATAATATAAATACACGCAGAAGGTACGTTAAGATATATACATGATATATGTATATATAAACGAGTGTGGAGCAAAAACTCAGCAACATAACTCGTGTTCGAAGTGAGAGCGGAGAGACACTCACCGGACGTTGAATGTGCTGATTGGATGAGAGGATCCATCAGAACTTATCAGAACGAACTGCGTCGAGAACCCACACGGTACTTTGATCTGTTTCATCACCAAATTGTTGTGACATCTCCTGTCTTCTTAAACAGAAATCTTAATGTACCCGAAAGATCAACTCTAGAGAGTACTCATAATTAACAATGGCGGAAAACTTACGAGGAGATCCTTCGAATATTTCTCCGAGATCACCAGACTCTCTGTGTTACTTTTCGTGATCTGGTAATTGGATCTTTTCAAAGTCAAGCTCGCTGGCTCCCAATTCTCCGAAGAATCCATCTGTAGAAAAAGGAAAACGTAGTCCGGAACTCAAAATCTCAAACTGAGGGGAATCGAAAAAGTGTATAAACATCCCAGACAATAAAAGGTAGATCTATAACCCCCCCCCCCCTAAAGGCCCAACTTACCAGAAGTTGCACACTAAATGTTGCTTGACCTCGGGATATAAACATGTCGATTTCTGTTTGCATCTCTGTATCTGCAATGATGCTCGTCATATTTGTTATTCAATGACCGTGGGAAACACAAGGAGAAGAAAAAGAGCACATAGCACTATCCCGGATGTTACTAGCTGAAAGTACGAACCTTTAATTTAATCTATCCATGTAGAAGAAATGACGCAGATTTAAACAGCCAAAGAAAATGGAAATGCCAGGATGAAAGGAAGAACCAGTTCCCAGAGCACCTCTAAGTTGAAATATGACCGACGAAATTCTTATCTGTCTATTTAGTTCATGGAAAAAACAATATGTTTTCCATCAAAACCGAAATCTGTGTCATTCAATTCCATCCTACAGGAAAATAAATCATTTTCCAGACATGTTTTTATAAAAAATGATGCAGAGAGGATTCAAGAGATGAAAGTATTTGGTGCTACGAGAATCAGGTTAGAGACATTTGGTACATACCACATCTAATTTTGCTATGATCATTAGCAAAATGCCTCACCAGATCTCCCTGAAAAGACATAAATGTACGAAAATAAAGTTAAAAGCAACAACAACCTATACAATAAGATAAGAAAATTGCAGCCTTTGGTTGTTGAGATAAACATAAATCAAGCATGAAAGAACTTCAAGGTGGAGCCAATTAGTCAAAACTGAAACAAAAGATCCGAATGGAAGACCACAGATATAATTCTCGCTTAGCTTGATTCAAACAATGAGCCAACTGCCATCACGTTCTTGCAGAGAAGATGTAGCATATGTACAGGTTCTTTTACATTTATTGAAATCCAAAACATAAAATCTATTGGATAAGTGGAAGGATCGGATGTAATGATATCTTTCTGGAAAAAATTACGTTAAATCTCCACCAGGATAAAACTAGCACAACTTAATAAAATAGATCAAGGAAAAACATAGATGTTTTTCATCGATGACAAGACAGAACATATAGATGTTATAATGACAAAAAAAAACTCGTAGTCATGTACCTGACGACCTTGGTCATCCATTGGAATGCATTCCACAGCAATCAATTTATCAACATCATCTGCTGTGACAACGTACTCCGGATTCGTGGCTCCTGAAATTTAAAGAACATCTACCATTTAGTAAACCCAGTATAAATTGCAAAGATCAAAAGACCACACTCAAATCTTACCCTCAATGTACTGCCTCGTGCCATCTTCGAGATGACGTACCCACTTTCATGAAGAGAAAAATTAAAAACTAGTCATTCGACTGTCACATATGTAAAACCTGTAGCGGGACTTTTGTAATGTGAACGAATTTTTTGAAGATTCACCTGAAACATACAGAGAGTAGTCCCTCGTACTGGAAATCCACATCCAAGAATTTTTTCCCCAGGAGTTGCATCACCAATTATCTGGAATCCCTCAATTCCCGGCCCCTCTGCTTCCAATAAACACAATAAGATTCTACACAGCTACTGAACTTGCTAAAGTCAATGAAGAAACTGATAAGACCTTCATAAAAATGAGATGCAACATCTTCATTCCCACTGGAAGGGTCATGCATGGAGTCCTCCATATCTCCTGTCCTCTCCCTCCTGGTATCTTTTCTTGCTACACTATTGAAAGTATGTCCTAAATCCCTGTGAAGAGATAAACCATGCGAAGATCGAAGATGAAATGTCTCTACTTATGAGAAAGCAAAACAGTAAGCACTCGTAAATAAGAATGATGTTGATTAAAATTAAGAAGATGAAAGCTTTCAGAGAACATGGATGTGACAAAGCTCTAGTGAAATTTGAAAGTTGGCATTTCAGACAACATGCTGAGAGCTAAAAGCTGAAAGTGGTATCAGTAGACTCTCATATATTTTATCTTTATGCAAAAAAAATAAATCACAACCGGTGAAGAATGTTTAATATCTCTTCATAGCAATTTTTCATAATGCTAGAACAGTGAAAAACAATGCCAACCTTTTCGAATGTTGTAAGATTTCTTGAGATCCCCCAGCAGCGAATGGTTGGCGCATCTGTCCATTAAACGTCAAATTTGCTACATCTTCCACATGGTTTTGATATGAGTATCTCATCATGTCATCCATCGGTGTCAAAAGTTGTTCACTAACCCTTCGATCATTAACAGAAATACCAACATGACCCTGTACAAGGGAGTACAAAAATATAGAAAGATATGGAAGATTGATAACAGAAGCATTTCACAGAGCATGGAAGCAATGATAGTAATTTTGCAAATTACTTGCTAATACTACCGTGGATCCATAGAGAACTTGGCCTTTTGAAATTCCAGAATCACGGTTACCAAGAAACTCTGTTTCGGGATGAATTTCCGCCAAAGAAGTTAATTCTCTGATCCTATCCTGGCACAGAAGTACGTCAGATCATGCTGAACAAAAAGACCATAAAGAGGCTTTGCATTCCTGAAGAAGTCCAAGTCAACTAATTTGACCTAGATGCAGGCAAAAAATACACAGAAAAATTGTGTAATACTGTAGCACTTTGAGAAACAAAGTGTTGATGGGCATTTTATATCAGAAAATCAGTACGCAAGAGATAGGGGGCATGTCGCCAAAAGTCGGCCACTTTTTTGCAGCATGTCATCCTTCATACCATGAATTTTGCACGTAGTTAAGCCAAAAAGGTTGATATAGTAAAATGCACCCAAAATAAAAGCATAAAAAAGAGAGAAATCAGCAAGTTTTCAACATTTCTGAAACAAGTTTCTTGCAAGTGCAAATACAAATACAAAATTCTGCATTCATTACATGATAAGCATTTGAAAAGAAAAAAACGTGATGGTGATTTAGAAATATTATTCCTGTTGACGCATAAAACCAAAGGACAGAAAACTCACATTAGAAGCCTTAATCTTCCACTGCAACTGATCGTGCAAGTGCTGCATATGATGAAGAAAGTAAGTATCTCAAACAAAAGTGAAACTTCACCACCTTCACTAAGACCACTATTCGATATATCCATTTTTTTTATGTCAGGAACAATTTTCACATTATGTCTGAAAAATATCGAGGCAAAACAAAACAGATAGCGCATCAAGAATGAAAGCTCCAGCCATTTTTGTATGGATTCTTTAGCTTGTGAGACAGAAAAGTTAAGAGTTATCCAGAGCCGATACCTTTATGCTGTTGGATATAGCAGTTGCATTAGCAACACGAGGCCAAACACCATATTCAGCTAATAGCCCAAGCATGGATGTCATAAAAACATACCTCTCATCCTCTGCAGCCTGAAAAAAGAACGTAAAATAAGTAATCACAAGAATACCTTCAAATCATGTGCCAACTTCAAATGCTGAAAACATGGATAAAATACCTTCAAATCATGTGCCAACTTCAAATTTTCTTCAAGATCACCTTTTCTACGAGCCAATTCGTTCAAAGCAGATGTGACAGCTTCATTTTGCTTCTCATCAATTGCCTGGAGCGGAAGAACTGTTAGTCATACATATACAGTCTAAGACGATCAATTCCAGTCCATCTTCATATAAAGAATTTATCAGGGCTACCAAGGAAGCAGGTGAAACTATTTTCTTCAAAAGGATAGACAAACCATTCGGAGGTCGGCACATTTTCTCTCTAATGCGTATTTCTCATTGAGCAGCTGCATATCCTGTTACCAGCGGATGTCATTCAGTCAAAAACAATGGGCACTAGAAGTTCAAATGAAAACTTGTGTTTGAGCATGAAGTATTTAGAGATGTTATACCTTTAAACAAGCAGCAGCGATTTGTTCATGGAGATTTTGAATCTCCTCCTCCTGTGATCTCGCTTGAGAATAAAGTGCCTGTTTTTAAGCTCATTTCATTGACTATACTAGTTGCTTCAAGAATCGGAATAGGATGCTTAAATGAGACAAGAAACACTACCATGGCATCAGGATGTTGAACAAATTTGGTATTAACGTCATCTTTTAGTTCCCTCGAAGCGAGACCCTTTTCAGATTCATGCCTACAGACAGATAGAGAATAACACTCAAAAACCACAACAAACGGCGATTTCGGAGGAGATAACTGACAGAGGTAAAGGCAATACCTATCTACTGGATCAGAACTATTATTCTCAACCATCTCATTTAAGCTCAAGAGCCAAGCTGTGACTTGAAGACATTGGGTTGCAGCGGTTTCTTCTCTGTAATATCTGAGCACAATATCGACAAGCACTTCCACTTTGACAACGGCAGTTTTTCACGTCACTTCATTTTCTATTCTCATGTAAGTTTGCCAACCAGAACTGCTAATTCATATAAGCATTTCAGACACATAGCATCAACAGAGACATATTACTGAATATATATGTATGTATATGTACGTATGATGAGATACATAATGCTGCTAAAAATTAAATTTCATAACAAATTTGGAAAGAGGCATTTTTTCCAGGTGAACTGCACCACATTAAACCAAACAGATAAAAGAACAGGAGGTCTGGACAACAACTCCAACTTAATTTATCCTCTAAAACATTTGCTTTGATGAGGAACAAGTGAAATCACAAGAGCTCAAGAACATCCAGATAGTTACCACACTTAAAGCAAGATTCCAAGATCATCTAAAGATATCAAATTTATTCCGGGCTAGTGATGCTGTTTCTCTTCCCAGAAAGCAATGCTTGCCCAAATCGAAGCCTACAAGAAGTATAGAAAAACTGCAACTCCATGTAACAATTGAACTTTCCCGGTGGATTCCAGAAGATTCTCAAAGTGGGGGAAAACCGAACTCAACTTTTGACTGCTGATTATTCCTACTTTAGTGCTACACAGATGGATAGATTCAAAGCGATCCTAAACACGAGTTTCTACTTCACCGACAACTTGTAGAATCACGAAGAGGAATAAGCAAGTGGCCACACGACCGATTGAATTCAAAAGTTGTAAAAGGTTATAAAGAGGAAATCGATTCGATATGCAGAGAAAGTGATCACCGTTAGCAAAATACGCGAAGAACTAACTGTCGAGTGTGTGTTCGGCTGCTGAGAAATTCTTTACGGAGAAAACCCAAATCAAGAACAGAAAAGATTCGAATTCGAGAGAGAACTCCGACGCGAATCGGGAAAATTGAATCTGAATTAACGACAATCCACAAATCGAAAGGAAAGTAAACGAGGTTTCTCTCGGCGAAAAAGAAATTTCCAGAGCAGTAGAGAAGAAGACGAAGAAGAAGGAATCCGACATGACTGTACCTGAGAAAGTCTGGAAGGGCGTGAAAAATACTCCGACCGAGGATTCTGATTCGGTCGACTGTGAGCTTCGGATGTTTGTAGAGATCCAAAGACGAAGGGAAGTTTTTGCGCTGACGAAGAAAAGTCAAGGCGCAAATGCGCTGGAGCGCTTCCGTACCGCACCACCTGAAATTCGGAACTTTCCATTTCTGTAACTTTTGCTAAATTTGTGATTTCACCGCTCAAGTTTTATTTGTTGAATGCTTGATCCCTTTTCTTTTGTCTTCTAACAAAAAAAAATGTCTGCCTATTTTGCTTTTTACCAAACCGTTATAATATATCCGTTGCCACATTAATGAAAAGTAACAAACCCTAAATGCCAGCTAATTATTACCACATATTAGATATTATAATATATATATATATATATATGTATGTATGTGTACACTTGTAAAAAGCCTGAGAAATATGTTGCCAACATGATGAGGGGAAAAGCAGGTTCAAAAGAGATAAATATGTGGGCAAAATGTAAATATTAGAAACTTTAGAGGCGATTTTATATATATGTAACATTTTAGGGGTGGAAATGCTTTAACAGAAAAACTAAAATTATGTATAAGACGTCCATACTTGCCATTTTTTCTTCCGTTCCCGACCCACCGGCGAAGTCGGAGAGTCTCTCCGTCAACTGAATCTCCGGTGAGATAACGTGAACCTAAACTCGGATCACATAGAAATGTCAGTCAGAAGGATTCTGAATCAGAGAGTGAACTTTCTCCGCTCGTGAAAGGAGTATATGAAGAAATGTCGCAGCAAATCGGCGGCAACAGTGGCAGCAATATTCTTCCGTTGAGCGAAGTTTACTGGTCTCTCGTTAACAAAGCGGACAAGAAGTTCTCCAAGATCCGGGACTTGCCGTTCTACGAACGCAGCAGGTACAATTCATCTCTGGGTTATTGATCGCTTCCCCCCCCCCCCC